AATTTGTAGTTACGGCACAAAATATTCAAGATTGGCTTGCTAAAATGGATGTGAAGGGTAGTACAGGGCCGTATGAGAACCATCCGATGTTTCTTAAGAACTGGGCCTAGTCACTGTGTTTGCCATTACTTCATTTTTTACATCTTCGTTGAAAGAAGGTGTTGTTCCGTCCAGATGGAAGAATTCGAAGATTGTTCCTGTTTATAAGAGCGCTCCCAATAAATCTGATTTCGGGAACTATAAACCCATTATAATACAATCTACTCACAGTTCACCAAGGCCCTTGATAACGTGTTATCAAGTCACCAACATGGGTTCATCAGTGGAATATCTGTTGAAACAAATCTGTTCTCCTTTATGGACTACATCTTTGTTTCTCTGGATCAAGGCAATAATGACGTTCGCTCGATTTATACCGATTTCTCGAAACCCTTTGACATAGTTAACAAAAAACTATTGATCTTCAAATTAAGGTAGTATGGCGTAGGAGAAGCGGCACTTACCTAAATGGATTCACAATTACTTGAGTAGCCGTACAGCTCACGTCATCTTTGAAAACACCAGGTCAATTCCTTCCATATAAGATCAGGAGTACCACAAGCCTCTCATCTTGGTCCTCCACTGTTCCTGGCTTTTATCAACGTGGTATCAGTAGTATCAAAGATACTGCAATACTGCAAAATGACATGGTGCAGTTAGAACTCTGGGTGTTAAACAACGTCTGGCAGCTTAATGTGAGTAAATGTTACACTGTTTGTTTTTCGGAAACATACACTCGCTCTGAGCCGAATTACCACCTTGGTGGTCAGTTATTGGATATTGTCAACTCCATTAGAGACTTAGGCACCATACTGGACAAGAAATTAAGTTTTACCTCCATTACGACCAAGTGACATCGAAGGCAAGTAAAATGCTTGGTCAGTGTAATGATTTCCGTAGTATAACAGCTCTAAGCACACTATACTTCTCGGTTCTGAGATCCCATCTGGACTACTGTTCCATTCTGTGGTCTCCTTACTAGCTATGTTTCCCATATCCAGTCGCCTGCAGCGTATTCAATCTAGTTTTTTTGGGCAAGATGAAGTTCAAGCTATCATTAAACGGGACAAATATAGATTCAACTGCACATGTAGGAAAATTCCTGGATATTCAAACTCTTAGACAATGAAGAACATTTCTTACATTGACTTTCGGGTATAAACGAGGCATAAATTACTGAACGGTCGCCTAAACTCGGATATTTGACCAAAAATTAACATCAGGGTTCCAAAGCGTCTCGTCCTTACTATTCCCCTAGGCATAATCGAACACTGTACATCCGGAACATCCCGTTGGATCGGATGTTCGGCCTAATCAATGAGTACAGTGCGAGTGTTGACCTTTTCAACGCCACTATTCTTTCGCTTAAACGTGGTGTTATTATGAATCAACAATGCCTATGGTGTGAAGAAAGATATGGAACTTGTTATTATTTTGGTTGAGTACATTGCTTTCCTTCCGAAGCAGTTGTGCATAGTTAACGTAGACCGTTTTGAAGATGTTTACAACGAGACCAATACCCTTCACGCATTTATCACTTCATTGATTACCGAGGCAGCTCGGGTTTGCGATTTTTTGTTCTATGTTTCAATACAGTATCGTTCGAAGAGAGCTTTTTTCTTGCGACAGCGTTGGTTACACTAAATGTAAGATTTTATCAGCTTTTATATTGTTACTTGTACCTCCAATACAAATGCGATTTTTATTCGCGATCTAACTTCCTTTTTAGGAACTATTATGAAAAAATTAACTTACTCGATCGTTATTGAATTAGGGGATTTATTGGGGTTTCAGTTCAATTTTAACGTTTCATTTTCAAATTTAATTTAATTTATTGAGTTACCGATTTTGATTTTGAGTGTCGTTGAAGAACAATACATCAGGGTTTTCTTATTGGATTCCATTGTAGAGTCCATTGTACCTTCCTAGTTTTATACAAGAGGAGTTAAACATTTAAAGAACCTTACGAAGATTTTATGCCCAACCGAATCAACCGCCGCTTTATGGAGAATCTCAAGCCTCTTTTTGCTTTTACATTTTTGAGCTAGTAGATTGATTTTAGAGAGAGAAATAAAGCGTCATCCAATGTCTGACGGACGGATACAGTCTTATCAATATTAGTCCATTTCTGGAATATAAAGGATCGAGCTGGAGTATTAGATGGCAGGTGTGACCATCGACAAGTCTTTGTATGTTGTTTTCATCCAACAATTGAGTGAATAAATTAAGTTCAAAACATAGGTTTATATGACAATTTTTTTAGAGTTGGTTCTCCTCCTGCTCTTGCTTGATCTCAAACTAAGATATTGCAAAAATAAGCGAAATCAATTAATATACAGGGTGACAGATGACGACAGGGTGGGATTTTTCGTAGTTAGATTAGCTATTACTTATTGATGTTCACCTTCTTCCTAAATGATTAATGGGGAGGGGGATCTTTAGCACATAAACATATGAAGGCCACCTGCTATACATTCAAAATCTACGCTTTACAGGGTGTAGACACGACTTACGCACCATAGGGATTTTAATGCTAATTTCTTTATATCGAAATGTTTACTCCTCTAATGAATTTAGAGCCAAGTTTCTTGTAGCTGGAAAAATCTGCGTCTGGTCATGTTTTCATTTATTATACAATTCGGGGAAATTATAAATAAATTAGAATTTAGTATGTGCTTTGTAATTTTCTATTACGCTGAATGGACAAATTTTTGTTTCAATAACTTCACGGCGCGAGGGATTTTTACTAAAATGCTAATTTATAATTTCTTTAATTTCGCCGATTTCCAAAAATGACAAATTGGCCTATGAATAGACGCAGAATTTTACTATCTACAAAAAAATTATTTAGACCTTCGCTATAAAATAATTAGAGGAGACAATATTTCAATATGAAGAAATTACTATTGGAATACAATGCAAGAAGAATCAAGCCCTTAGAAAAATTCTCCAAAATATTTGTAGGTACCTACCTTCGTAGGACATTTTTGAGATATCACCAGTAGATGTGTCTCGTCTAGATACTCTAGATGATCTTTCCGCCCTTTCCGAGTACCCTCCTCCGACAATCCATTCTACAGATATTTGTACTAAAAGCTTTCAAATCACCAGTAGATCTGTCTCGTATAGAAGTTCCACTTCCAGGCCTCTAGGACAATTCTCCTAAAAGTAGTTCAAAACCGGGTCTGGACAGACGGACAAAACGCAGAAAATATCACATTTCTTTTAATTCTTAAAAAATGCGCTAAAAAAATTGCAAAACAATAACTCCTGGATAATGTGTAATTTTGGTAAGATCTTTACTTATGTACTCACCAATTTCGTTTAGGAAACGACAAAAATACATTGTCACATTCATAATTTGTGACTATATTGTCGTGATCCTTTTGGATAATTTACTATCAATTTTGTCGGAGTATCATCAAAACAACGCATTGTTCTTATTTCCTATCAAGGGAATGTACATAAACTTAATTTCTTCGGCATCACTTTTGTGACTGCCACACAGCTGTTTTTCGTTTTTCCCCTAAGCTAAAAAAAACTCGGAAACTATCCTACTGGGCGAAGAATTGATATTGAGGATTAAGTGTGACTGAATAAACCGACTTAAAATTCAAATTGCATTATAAGAAATAAGTAGGTAATTCTGTAGTGGACGCTCCCATTTTGCGCAAATATTAATGTAAATAAAGGATACTAATGAATTTTATTTCTGTCAGGTCGTAATTTACAAGGCTAGCGAATATTTATTGAAATTTCAAGGCTGTACTAAAATTAGATATTTGATGAATTTCCAGATATAGATTTCAATATAAAGTTTTCTTGACGTAGAAATTTTCGCAAACTGGAATCACTAATTTCGGAATTAGATACGTCTTTTGTATAATACCTACATTTTGAATTTTAAATTAAGTTGTATGCAATTTACACCATCAAGCTCCTATATTATGGTTATGGATTCTACACTTTTATGTGAAAGCATTTGACGTGGCCAATCACAATAAAGGCTTTAGTTGATTATAATTCGAATATTTGTAGGTAATAAATTTACTGAGACGTTTACATACATTGTGTTTTTATTTATATTTATTATATTTTGTGTTATTGAAGAGCATAAGGCTGTTCTTCTAATTAAAAAAGCAAAATTTTAAATGTTGGAAGATTATCTTGCATGTGCTTCTTGATGCGTAAGACCTTTTTGAGTCACTTGTAGGCGTGTGGATCATTTAATGTGACTCATCGTTTCGTAAAGTTACCGCACTCGCGCGGTCGGCTAAAGCGTACTTTTTCATGTGAGCTGGGACCATTATTTGATATAACTATTCTTCTCCTAAATATCCATTCAAATTTGTTTGTCAATACACGAACTAGATTTTTAACCGCCCAAAGCAGAGCTTCCTACGTTTAAATGGTGAGGTCTCTGAGGTATTACCAGCATTTTTCTTGTAACCTACGCTAAAAATGGCAAAAATAGCTAGGAAAGTATTGTAGAGCATAGCCATAATTCACGCGTTTTTAAAAGGAAGTGCTTTCAATGAAAGTAAATAGCCAATTATTATCCAATCTGAGCTATACTGAATTTAAACATAACGAGAAAAGTGAAATGGTAAGATGTTATTAAGTAAGGCTATTATACAATTAGCAACAAGAAATACCAACCTTTTCGATTAACTAAAACGGTAACTGTCGAAAGGTGAGCGTCCTGAATAATAAATAAAACGAGCTTCAAAACGTAAACATTTTTACATTTTAATAAAGCATTTACCGTATTACAAAATATAAGGCACTTTTACTGGCCGGATAACAATATTTAAACTATTAACAAGTTCTGGCCTTATAAAATATGTATATAAATAAAATATATAATATAGAACTAATTTATGCCATTAGCATTTTCAACACTTATCGACCTATTAACATTTTGCATTTAATAAATAACACGTTTAAGTACAACAATTATTGAAAGTATGGGAATGATGATTGTCGAATTCAATTTTCAGGTACTGTTCATTTTTATATGGCTCGATTGTAGCACAACAGGAACATACACGGTTTCACAACGTTATATAATATTATTGTATAAAAGGATCACAACCACGTTCAATAATTTAATTCGTAACAATATCTGCTTGTCTATCTAACGTTAAATCTAAAGGCACCGGTTTTACGATTTCACTTTCGTCGATGGCGAAAGAGTTCGATTGCACTTGCATTTTAGAATTAATTGAACGCACCGATAAGTCTATTGGATGTTCCTGCTCGGGGGCAGTTTCCGCCAGTGGCAACGTGCCGCCGCCTTTCAACCACAAGTCGCGAAAGGGACTGGAATCGCCGAGGCCGCTGAACGTCGGAAGCCACCTCGGAAACGTACCGCTCGGCGACACGATCGGAAACGGCGCTGAAATCGGCGGCATGAGCGGCCTACGAGGGAAGTACTCGCAGTCGCTCGAAGGTGATGGCAGCTTCTTGCTCGAAACCGTCGACTTGTCGCTAATTGCCGGCGAGGTGGTGAACCGAAAACAGCTCAGGCCGCTCGTCGAGCGGACGTCGTCCTCGAGATCGGCCGAGGAGGCGCCACTGTCCGATTCGGAACTTTTTGTGTCGCTCGACAGGAGCGGAGGGTTTCGTAGTAGCGGTAGATAAGGGTGCGGTCGTAGTAAGCCGGGGTTTATGTTTATTCCTTGCTGCTGCTGCTCTTGTAGCAGGCAGTGGATTTTGAACCAGTTCGAGCGGCGACCGTATCGCGAGCCGCTTTTCGACATTCCGACCAGCAGACACTTTCGTAATCTGCACGCTTTGCATGCAGTGCGATTCTTTTTGTTGATAACACACTGTCCGTTGTTTTTGCACTCGGAGATTGAGCTTATGTTGTTGTAGGTCCGGCCGAAGAATGACTGAAACAAAAAGAAAAAACTATGAAGGTACTCCGTCATAATTTGAGAGTAATTGAGTATCAAAATATGCCAAACATTGTATACGATTCAATGGATTGTAGTTCAGTTTGCGGTGATTCAAATCGAAATACACCAAGTCGTCCATATTGCTGCTTGAAAAGCACTATCTATCCAAGCCAATTGTTACACATGAGCATCTTAGAATAGAACGTTTCATGCTCGCTCACAGCTGTTACCGCAAAGACCTCAAAGGTCGGGGTTGCAAAACGTACAAGGCACATTGCTTCACTACTAAGGCTATCCACCTTGAAGTGGTTTCCATCAGGCCGACCACTGAATCCTGCATCATGACTTTCGATGCTTCATTGCCCGAAGGGGCAAACTTTCGCATGCGCCTATTCAGACAATGGTTTCAACTTTTTTAACTTGGAACCAAAAGAGTTAGCAAGGTTTCTCGCGATTGAGCAGGATTCTGCCGTTGACAGTTGTAGTAACCAAGGTGTCGCATGGCATTTTTTACCATATAATCAAAAAGTCCAAAGGTGACTCGATAGAAACTCTTTTTTAATCGCATAGTAAATAGGTGTTAATAAGCCGCATCGTGTGATTTAACATTTGGTAAATTCTTATTTACATTAAAAGCTAAACTTCGCTTCCTTTTGACAGTGCTACGCGATTGCTAATTAGAGAGAGGACGTCCGCGTGGTATCCTTTTACTCCCTTCCAGTTTTGCTTCTGTCTCAATTTCGTCTAAAATTTAATCATACCATCATCATCATTTATTTCGTCTGGTAGGATGAAATTTTAGGAAATCTTAAGAGCAGTTTATTTTTTGTGTAAGTAACATTTGCAAGTAAATTTTATTCATTTGTCGTTGGTCTATGTAACGGCATGGGGATTATTGTGTCATACGAGAAAGCGGTCAAGGTTGTTTTTGTTATATTTTTATTTTATTTAACGTAGAATTTCTGGGAATTGTTGGGTCTTGATAATAATATGTATTTCGTGTTTATAATACAAGTAGTATTTTACACTTGTCAAAACAAAAACATTTAAAAACACACAATTACATATTAAAATGATTGCAAGACATGAATTCTTCAATTGAGTAAAACGCTTTGCTAATCAATACTGGTTTGAGTTTTTTCTTGAATTCATTCAAAGGTGCAATTCTGAGACACAGAGGGAGGCGATTATACATTTTAGGTCCGTAGTAGTTCGAAATCTGTTATCAAATGTAAATGCTTAATTTAATTGACAGGTGGATGGGATTTATCGTTTTTTCTATGTAGTTAAGAGAGATGAAATTTTATTTTTTCCTAGAATTTAAGTTTGGATTTATCTCTTAATGTCTGATAACAAATTGATTTATAAAAATTATTCGACCTGTATTTTTTTTGTATAAAACGTACGTTGAGGGGATAGTCTTTGTTGTCAACTGTGTATGATTGATTGTTATAATTTTGATTTTCGGAAGAAGGTTTTCGCCGTAAATAGGACGTTAACAAGAAAAGCGTCGCTTTTTGTCACAGTCAACCCAGAACTACGTTTCATTGAAAATTTAAATCAGCTTTTTGCCAAGTTGAGGGCCATAGTGCGGCAAATTTAAATCGGCTTTTAGCCACAGTCTACGCAGAACTTCGCTTTTTGCGAATTCCATCGTTAATTTACAGCCAGTTAGTCGCGGCTAGTTTGTGTTCTACGTTTTGAAGTTTTGGCCAGGTGCTGCAAGGATAGGTGTTTGTCGGCGCCTCTATAAATGTGTGTTCAACGTGATTCAGTTTGAAGTTGAGTTTTTGGAACGTCCTTGTCTACCCGAAGTGAAGATGCTGCGATTACCCGGTCGTTAGTGTAAAGTCTGTTAATTGAAAATTGTCATTTTTGGTGAACTGTGTACGGATACCTTTTATTTGGATTATAATTTTCGGAAAAGTAATGTAAGTAGTTAAGTCATAATTTTAGTCTATTTGTAATATTTGTTTGTGTTTTTGTACCATTTTCCTGTTGTTTTTATTCGATGCTTGCCCAAGGTCCATTTTAATTATTCAAAATTTTGCAGTTCAGTTTGGAGTTTAAGGTAGTTGGTCTAACCCACTATCTGTTAGAAGTTAACAGGTTAACTGAGAGCAGAGTCGAATCTCTCCTCTGTACTGGGGAGAAGTTATGTGCCGTGATAATAAATAAAAGGGAAAGAGCTAGCTAGGTTTTTGTTGTGGTGTTTTGTGTACGGGCTTTCTGGCCTACGGATCAATGCACACAGCATTCTTTTGTGGCGCACAACCTGGGGCACACAGCAATACCTATCCAACGCTTCACTAGCGCATAAGATGGAAAACTCACCTATCCAATCTGCAGCTGGGTACCTTAGTTATTGCTAAAGAATATCATCTGCCTCCTGGAAAATTGGTCGCATCATCCAGTTTCATCGCAATAGTCCAGTCACAAAACGGCAAATAGAAAAAATAATTCGTGTAGTTCGGGAATGTGTGCGGGAATTTATTCTTTTATCATACACTTTTATAGCACTTTTAAGTTAAACTCCATACTTCTATTGATACCGTTCAAAGAGCAAAACATAAAATAGAGTCTTTTTTGTCAAAATTATGGAGCTAGATCTTCGGTTGTTTGGATCATCCTGTCGCATTCTTCACTTCTCGAACGCTTTTATTGTGGATTTTGGGTGGGGGTGATTTATATTTCTTTGGAGTACTGAAATAGATGGTCTTCCTAACGTTGAAAACGACTACTATGCCGTTGGATGAAACAAGAAAGCATATTCAATTTACATCCATACAAATCGACCATGTGGTTAAAAATAGGAGCAGAAGCGGAACAAAACATAACGTTTGCCTAATCTTCGTGAGACAGTAGTTGTATCCGTGACATTTACACAGCACACAACACTTGTGGATGCCGTTGAAAAGTAATTAAGATGACGCTGGATGTACCTATAATCAATCAATATATGCAATAAGGAACGGCAACCGCGCTAATTACTATTATTAACGTTTCATGCACTCGCAGTTCGTCACCTGTTAGCTAACCATCTACGAGTTACTTATACCTAATTAAGTACCTCGCTCTGAGTATATTAGACACAAAAGTCCAATAATAAAGACGCCACAACGACTGCGGGTAATTACTTGCAACACAATAAGAAATGATTAGTTTCAGCGATAACGCAGAAAATTGTAAAAATCGGAAAACAGCCGGAAGATACAATTTTATATAATAATGCATGATTTTAATAATCTCGCTGCACAGACGATTGACAAAGCAATTGGGTGAGATGAGTGCAACCAACCTTAAACGGAGAATTACTCGATCGTGAAAGTAGCGAATTAAATCGTTCGTATTGTTTATGTGGTGTTAAAAATCTAACAAAAAGGAAAGTTATATCGATTCGACTATTTGTTCCAATTTGCTCATTATAAAAAGGAAAACTTTCTTGGCGAAGAGGATTATTATTATATTTCAAGAAGTCATGCTAGCGCCCCGCGGCTATTTCACATATACATAAGTCACCTCATTGTGACCGAATTATGTACATCTTCTACTTTCTAGACCCAGATAATCTGTCAAGATGGGATCGTCTTTGTATGTGTTTAACCAACGTCAAAGGTTAGTTTAGCAGTAGTGTTTGCAAATATTTTACGAAAACGTTTTCTTTCCAACGGTTTCGGTAATGTACAGTTTGCTACTATTTGGTTGACCCCCATCTTGAACTGTCGCACATTTACATAAAGCGTGGGTTAATTAAATACAGATATTATAAAGAAAATATAGAATCAGATATCTAAATTATTAATCGAAAAGAACCACGAAACTGATTTATGTCGGCACGAATCGCCACACGTGGACCCAAAAATAAGCGTGTATGCTAATTAGCCGGACGATATAAATTTTCAAAATTGTCAAACTTAAATCGGTGGGTCCTTCATAAATGATTGCAATTCACTTTTTTTTTCATCCGATTTAACCGAAAAAGGCAATTAGGATTCTTTTTATTCGTGCATATTCAATTTTATAAAAAGCACCACAATTTGTCTACGTTCAAGCAACCTAGACGCATGTTTGTACAAAACAAGTATGCAGAATCAAAATAATATGCATCAACTAGAATTTACACTTGAATTTTCCCCTTTATTATTAAATTGTATTTGATATTTCACTCTTAATTGTCTTGTAATAACTTATTTACGAGTTACCTTACGGTGTTTGCTAATATATAATTTATTTGTTTTTTTCTATACTTATGCTATCGATTTCGGTATTTACCATCGTCAGGCTTGCGAAACACACAAAATGTAATTATTTTTCGAAATAACTCTATTTTTTGGGGTATTGAAACGAGTGGTCGCTTGAGAATTAAAAGAAGGATTTAGGAAAATTTTTTTTACACATGTACCGCTTTATAGCGAACGTGAACAAAATTATATCTGGCGATAACAAGGTGTGCGTTTTCGATAAAAGTGTGCGGTACGAAGAGAGACCGGATTGTAAACGGGTTTTAGGCAGACGAGGTTAGACTTTTGAAGAGTTAACACTTTTGGGCGCGTTGAAAATTTTTAGCGAAGTTATAAAAACACATGCGTACCATTGTGTTTACGAGGGATTGTATTCCGGGTATGTGTAAATATTTGCGATCCAAATTCAGGAACCGGAGAGTGCATTTATTGGAAATCTATCCAAATCGTAGTAAAGAATTGAAAAAATGGAAGATTAATCGTGAAAATACGTTCGTACGAGTCTGACCAAGCAGCACCCGTTTTCCGCCTGGAAAGAATCAGTGTTAGTGATCACTCTGGTAGATAAACACCTGGATTCTAGAAGCGCTAAAAGTGCTATAAGTATACGAAAATCCAGGAATGAAACCGGCAAGGTCGTGCAGTTTAAGGAAAGTATTAGGTGATAACCGAATACGCCGCTTGACCTCACATTTCAAGGAACAAAAGGGCATTGCTGGACTGCCGAATTTGGAAATTTCATTCCGACTATTT